TTATATATTCAATATAATATTTGAATAAAAATGCAAATATTTAATTATTAAATGTCTTAGTTTCTTCAAGATTTAAATATTTAATATTTTGTGACAAAAGTTATTAGGAAAATTATTGTGTCGTAAGGCACTTTTGATCGCTCCTAAACCTATTTGCACTTGAAAAGCCTTTCCTGAAACGGGGCGCTTTTTTCTGCACCACACCGGAAAATAGTGGGTGTTAGCTGACTGGCGTTAGCAAGCAACAATTTCGAAGTCAGCTGTGGGTTCTATGGTAAATATATGGGTTTCTTTCTACCTTTAAACAAATTAGTTATCCATTGATATCATAGTATTTATAAATAAAGATCACTTAAATGACATAGTATAAAATAATTTGCTTATTATAGAATAACTTCGGTAACTCCTAACTATGCTAACTGGCTGCTAGCTACTGAGAGCTAAATCGAAGTTGTGAGCGACATTGAAATAGCAGTTAATTGTTTTAGAAACAAAATAACATCTAATGTTTGGAATCGTTAGTGCCTCTTATTTTTTTGTTGAATACGAGTTTTTTAATTGTGAAAGCTTTCATTAGTTTACTGATGGCCTTGATGACGCCGTTTTTCCAACTGAATAAAATGTTTTTCATTCCTTCTGACATATTTGCTTGAAGAATCAAGTAAACATAGATAGGTTTTGACTGATCTAATTTTAAATTTGAACAACTTAAAAGAGACTGCACCAGTAATAGTAAGATAAAATGTGGAGTACTTTAAACACTTTAGTGGTAATTCATTGAAATATTTAAGACTTTCTGCTGACTTATCGATATCCATCAGTTTTATTATGGCATCTGATGTTAACTCATATATTCACTTTGTTTCTGCTTATATTTGTTGTCTCTTTGGGATCATTTATGGAATATTCACCTCTCTTTACCAGATCAATAGGCCCTATGCTGACCACCGCCCAGTCCTTTTGGTAAAAATTTAATTTAGAGGTTGCTTTATATCAGTCGACAATAAGTGAAAGTCATTACGATGTCTTAATAAGGATAATAATCTTTTGATATATATATATATATATATATATATATATATATATATATATATATATATATATATATGTATATATATACATATTGCATTGATGGTATAATTATGTAGAATTTGTGACAAAAAAGTATAGAAGATTATGGATTGGTTATGAACATATGGACAAGGAAGTTACTGCAAGCTTTCAGTAAGCATACATCTTTTGAAGGAAATCACAATGAGGACTACAGTGCCGGCTATATAGATGGACAAAATGACTCCAGTTCCAATCTTGAAATGTTTTGTGACATGGGCTACTCCTTCACAGAAGTTCATAAGGTTAATTCATTCTGATGGATGCTCATACCTGATGGATTCTCAATAGGAGACAAGCTGTTGTTCAGCACTGATGATTCCCTTCATATATCACCTTAGTTTATGAAGGGAATGTGTGTAATACCAAAAAGTATTAATTAAGTGACACTACAACCAGTAGATAACCGAATAGTACAGGTGTTTACTGTTCATGGAGTGATTTTTAGAGAAATCATGCCATGGTGGTGATTTTTCTTGTTTCTTTTTTGTTTTTTTTCTCCAGGAAGAGATGTCAGGAGACAGTGTGGTGAGCTCTGCAGTGCCAGCAGCTACAACCAGGACCACATCCTTCAAAGGTTCCAGCCCCAGTTCCAAGTATGTGAAGTTAAATGTGGGTGGAGCGCTCTACTACACTACAATGCAGACACTAACAAAGCAGGACACCATGCTTAAAGCTATGTTCAGTGGGCGGATGGAGGTGCTTACAGACAGTGAAGGTAAGCTCTGTATATATATTATGAATGTGCATACAGATGGTATTAGCTTTTACCCATCAATGGTTTTTGGTTTATAGGTTGGATCCTAATTGATCGCTGTGGGAAACACTTTGGAACAATCCTTAACTATCTCCGGGATGGGGCGGTCCCACTCCCAGAGAGCCGTCGGGAAACTGAAGAGTTACTCGCAGAGGCCAAGTATTATCTTGTCCAAGGCTTAGCTGACGAATGTTCAGCAGCCTTGCAGGTTAGTTCTTCAACATAAATTCTGATATCTGATTATGCTTTAAGCCACAAAATGTTGTACATTAGGAGACGGCATCCTGCATATCTTTGATGTGTCAAGTGGTTATTTGAGCCAGTGTTAGCTCTTCTGTCTATGAACCTTCTCTGCACACTTTATCCAATGAGGCATTTTTGTCCGCACAATTATTGTGGATATTTTCTCTTTTTTTTCCTAACCATTTTCTGTAACACACAGTGAAAATCGAGTGTGAAAATACCAGCAAATTCTGACACACTCAATCCAGACCATCTGGCTTCAACAACCATAATCTGTTTAGTCATTTTTTTCTATTCTTCTCCATTAGTTTGAATTTAAGGAAGTTGTCTTGGTGGCTAAATTGTTTAGTTTCTGCCATGTTATTATCTGACTTTCTATGTGTGCTAACTAAGATTGAATCAAGTATTTCCAGAAAAGTAACTTAATGTATAAACTTGTGTAAAACTAAACATTATTTAACAACTGAAAGACTTAAAGGTGATGATGAAATCTCCTTTTACTCTTTGCATGCTCAGTCAGCGCTGCATGGTTTTTCTTGCTACTTTGTTTTGAACTCTTTACCAAAGTGTTACCATTTTGTCTACATGTACTTGGATATTCTCATGAAAGTACCCTTTCCTCCTCATGTACTTTCCACTAAATGCCTGTTTCTCTTTGTAATCAGATGTTTTGATACAGATGCACTCATAAAAATGGTCAAATCTGATTGGTAATGACATTGTTCGAAAGGTGTAGCATTAAATCGCTGTTTCTATTGTGGCAGTAATTCTTGTTTAGGTAACATGACCACCGTTGAAACCAAAATAGCAGAATGACCTTCAGGTTGACACCTATCCTAGTTACATAACACAATTTAGGTTACAGCGCATTTGTCATCATATTTTGTCTGTGATATAAAATACTTTACCGAAATGTAACTGCAGTATTTAATAAAGGAAATAAAATTGTCTTTCAGAAGAAGGAAACATATGAACCTCTTTGTAAAGTGCCTCTCATGACATCATGTAAGGAAGAGCAGAGACTCATTGCAACCTCAAATAAGGTATGTTCTTGTAGCTTGCGCTGAATTTTATGGAACCATTAAGATATTTTTTTGTAACCAAAACACAAACATTTTGTCTTCCCAGCCTACTGTAAAACTGTTGTATAACAGAAGCAACAATAAATATTCATATACTAGGTGAGTATCCTTTAATACCATCATGATTAGATATGGATCATAAGCCAGATGACTTGCAGTACCTTCATCATTATTTTTTTACCTCCTGTCCAGCAATTCTGATGACAACATGCTAAAAAATATTGAGCTCTTTGACAAGTTGTCTTTGCGGTTCAATGGGCGAGTCCTCTTCATTAAAGATGTGATAGGGGATGAGATCTGTTGCTGGTCCTTTTATGGCCAGGGTCGTAAGATTGCAGAAGTGTGCTGCACTTCCATTGTTTATGCAACAGAAAAGAAGCAGACTAAGGTAAATATGCATCTGATGCATTTATTTTTTTGTCATTAAAATGAATTGGATTGTGGCACTTCTGACCTTCGATAATTATATTCTCTGTTCATTCTTTTTTATTATTACTATTATATAGCAGAATGTTTTTCACTATCGCTCTTATTTTATTTCTTTGTGCAACATTCAGGTTGAGTTTCCTGAAGCGCGCATCTATGAGGAGACCCTCAACATCCTTCTGTATGAGTCCCACGACGGACGGGGTCCGGACAACGCGCTGCTGGAAGCCACAGGTGGTGCTGCGGGAAGATCTAGCCATCTGGACGACGACGAGGAGCCCGTAGGAAGAGTTCGTAGGATTCATGTCAAACGACCCGATGACCGCACACACCACCACCAATGATCTCCCTGTTCTGACCCAGCAGTCTGTGTCTCTGGACCATGCTTGTGCCTTACAAACACCACTCAAATCACTCTCTCTCACTTCCTGTTGTCTTTTACCAGCTTCTCCAAGAGACTACTCTGAGTGGCGTACATCAGTTTGTATTGTTTTCTGTTTTTGTGTCTCGTTTTAGTTGTTTAGCTGTTGTGTTGCTTTGTAATCTTAAAAATGACTTCTTCTACAGTTGCTTACATGGATATTTGCTTTCAGCAGAACAAGGTTTTACCCATCGGACTGTTTGTGGAGTGTTTCTGTCAGTATAAATCTGTTGTTTAAGGGTTAAAGCTATGTGACGCACAGCAGAACCTGAAGTACAGGATGTAATTATTTAAAAAAGTAATGAAGACGGTTTGCGACTCTTGAGTCTGTCAGTGGTGTCATACCACAATGTGACCATACGGTGGCACTGTTTTATCCCTGGAATGTTACCATGGCTATTTTGTAGCCTGATAATTAATAAAACTACATAAAAAATAATTTTTATGTTACAGTATCCCAGAAGAATGCAACATTTCACTCTCTGGATTATATTCTATTTAGTTAGGATTGATATATTTCGGTTCACTCCACTATTTTCCAGTGGAGGAAACTTGATCTGTGACCTGAGGTGTAAATGTACTGAGCTGATCGAATGATGTCTGCTGAGGTTTAAGTGAATGAGTGTAATCAGACCAATGCCTGGCAGGAAGGCCTGTCTACAAGCTTTTAACAGAGATGGCAATTACACCTGTCCATCACTGCATTCATCAGAATATACTGTTTGCATACTATATGTTCAAGTCAACGCAACCATCAATTTTTAGGTCTGTTGTACAGAAGTGAACAAATTATGTTTTATATTTATATATCCTTTATCACAAATAAATTTCTAGATGCATTGGTTTTGGTATGTGTTTAATTTCCACATGTTCCTTGTCAGTGAAAATACAAAATTATAATACATATGGCTCCGTTGTTTAAAGAATTACATGGGTTTTTTTTAGCCAAGTTTGTGAATAATATGGTTTCCTCAAGTCAGATATTTTTTTTGCATATTTGATTTTTCAACTTAAAGTGAACCTCTGAATTAACAGCTCAGATTTAAACTTTACTAGATAAGATATCAAACTGTAGTTTTATTGTAGGTAAATATTGTGCTGGAAACTAACTTGACCTAAAACAAATGAAAAGTTTATTTCTGTCTGATGAGGGATGCAGCTCTTTAAGGTCGGGTGTGTATCCTGTCGACATAATTCTCTCCTAAGGGGTCTCCTGATTAAATATGCAGGGGCTTCTTGCGTGTCCTCACATTTTACCGTGTCCTTGTTCGTGTTGCCACCTGCAGCAAAAAAAAAAAAAAATTGGTTTATGTTTCTTTTTACGTTCAAGGTGAATTTAAAGATGGGATTATTTGTTTTTACTCACCACCATCAGGTGTCCATTCTTGGCTTTGTAAACCATGGGCTCCTGCCCTGTGGTAAAGTCTACTGCGCTCTCTTTGCCAGACTGGATTTTGATCTTTATGCTGAAAATGCCAAAGTTGTTGAGTAAATCTGAATGGCAAAACCAGGTGTCTAATTCTCAAGTCTTGAACTCACCTGCCCTGAACCACTTTGATTGCATCCTGTTTGTTAGCAATGATGCTGAGTTTGGTTAAAAACTCATACAGGTGCTCACACTGCATGATCAGATCTCCCTGAGTCAAAGAGTAACAAATGATAGATTTTCACCTAGCAATGTAAAAGTTTTTATGTTTCTGAATTTTCATAAAACTTGTCATCATTGCAATAATTTCTGTATTGGCACTGTCATGATCAGTGTTGGTTTAAGTAAAAAATACAAACCCAGACATAGTATAATACAGTGTGGCATGTATTTGTATTCAAATGAGTCAAATGTTGAGTAAAACAAACTTACACTGCAGTTAACAGCAAAATCAGCAAATCTTTTGGAGTTATCACTTTCCACATCTAGACACTGACATTTCTGTCTATCATTTTTTTTACTCAACCTAACATTAAATTGAGAATGTCAGCAATTTTCAAACCTTAAAGATTCTTAGTTGGATTTAGTTCTTTTGCTTTCACTGGGGAGTTCTAGATATAAAGATGCTTTGATTAATCCTCATTATTGGAGCTGTGGGTGTATGCTAACAGATCCCACCAAGCTGTGACTCTCTGCATCTCCTCCAGAGTTAGCATGAACCTTTTTGATTAATCCTCTCCTTGTTCAGTCTGTCAGTTTAGATGGATGCCTCTGTTTTGGTCGAAATGCAATTGTTCCCGCTCTACATTTTCAGGAATTGGATTAAAAAGCTCTATGAGACATGTTAAAAACTGTGAATTTTTAAAAAAATTTATTTATTTATAGCATAGCTCTTCTTCTCCACAACTTTTATATCTTACTCATTTGATGCTGGCTGTTCATGAATGTTCTCTAACCTCTGAAACCTTCACAAAACAGTAGGATTTATACTGACATTACATTAAATAAAGTTGGGCTCCATCTGAGGCCTATTGGTTGCACAGGATTTCTTTAGGAGTATCAGAGTAAGAGGGCTGAACAGAAACACACACTCCAGTTTTCAGATTTGTAAAAAAAATAAATAAAAATACAATACATGGCCTTGTATCCTTTTCATTCCATTTCAAAATTTTGTAGTAATTTTTTTATTTTTGTTGATTTATTACATAAAATCCCAATAAAATACATTGTGCATAATTTAATAAAATATAAAAAAAATACCTTTTGTTTGGGATCTTCACAAGTTATATGAATTACAATGATGCCATCGCTTAAGTTGCTTACAGATATCCCTGCAAAAAGTCCAAACTCAGTTTTTGCCCTCTATGAGAACCATAATAATAATAATTATAATAGTAATAATGTTAACCACTGAATTTTTTAATGCAGTTCAGACCTTTGAGAGAATTGTATGAAACTCGCTGTTTGATCTTGGCTTCCTCCACCAGATAGGCAGCAGTCTTGGTGAGGATGAGCTGCCTTGGCCTTGGTTTGAAGCCGTTTCTGTCATACTTAATCACTGGGACACAGTACTGCAGAAACACAGAACCCAACTCACTGAGACCTTGATTTGGTGCTGGATTACGTCAAGATGGTCATTTCATGCCATTACCTTAATCTGCTCATTGCGAATCATACTAAGAACCCGGATGTTTATCTCTTGCTCGCCTGGAGAAGACAGACCATGCATGCATGTGACCGTCTGGAAACAGAAGTGTGTGGAGCTGTTTTATTTGAAACTCACTGATTCTTGTGTCCAAGAAAGGTTGAGGGATGCTTGGTGGATAATTTTCCTTTTTGCCTTTGAAGATTGCACTGGTGACAACTTTCATTTGAAGCTGAAAGAACAAAACTATAAACCACAAAAAAAAAACAGCATTTTTTTCTCTTATATGTTGTGATCAGTGTTTCTTACTTGTGCTTTTTTCTGTGGTGAGATTCCTCGTACATATTTCCGCACCATCAGACGGTAGTGAAGCTTCCGCAGCATCTCTGATGCCTTTAATGAAGCAATAAAATCATCCTCAGAGCCAAAAGTTTACTTTTCATCCGGCTGCACCGAAATGAATAAACGCTGAGTTACCTCAGTGACCACAGCTGGGGGAGTTAGCCAGGTTGTCTTATCCAAAACAGACTTTGGCAGATTGTTTCTCAGTCTGTTCAAGTAGCTTTGTCTCACAAAGGCCAGGTACTCCGAGTTATCTGTGCTTTTTGCTTCCCCTCTGTTAATGTAGGCTTTGATGAACCTAAAACAGGAGAACAAAATGCAATTTAGATGAAATGATGTGATAACATTCAGATTTAGGGTGCCATTTTTATTTTATTTTATGTTTTTGCTTACTTCTTGATGACTTTTACAGCCCATGCTCTTTTCTCTTTCTCCTTCCTGGCCTGTGCTCCTCTCCAACATGTCTCAATCTTTGTTGCTGAAGACATTAAATTAAAGATAAGCTTGCTTGCACGTCAACAAAGAAGTTTGAATATTGGTGAAATGTTCCTAAGTCTGAAACATAATGTATTTTTGCTATTGGAGATGTGATAGATATCTTGGTATAAAAACTGTTTTCCAATCCAGTGTATGGTGTTGATATCAAAGTGATCTTTATGGTTTACAAATATTTAAACTGCTTCATGTTCTGATATTTACCAGCCTCTTTCTGTTTCTTGAACTCTCCCTTCACTTTGTATCCTTTATACTTGGCCTGAAGTTTTGATGCTGCAAATCATTAAAAGTCGTCAATAATAATAATAATAAAAGTTTTTAAGATTTGAATTAAACGTACCCAAGTCATGTTTGCATTTCTCGTAAGCATCCTCTGTGGCATAAAGAGTCCTGGGATGACGGATGAAGATCTTGGTCCTATAAAAATCCAATCAGGGATGGTAATTTTTAGCCAAAACTTTCTTATTGAGTGTTTTTTAGACGGAACTAGAAGGTTTTCCTCACCTTCCCATTTTGTACTCATCAGGCAGGTAGCCCAGGTGTTGAACCAGCAATTCAACTCCATCAGCAGGTATTCCTCTCCAGTGAGGCCAGGTGGCCGGGCACAGGGGTTTGTATCTGTGACATGAGCCATGTTAACACACGCATGAAAAGTTTACACACATGAAATCAAGCACAAATTCATGGGGAAAGATATGTTTTTGCAGGACCTCTTTAAGAAGTCCTCATACTTCCGACGGTAAGCGAAACCAGCTCTTCTCACTCTGAGATGCTCCATCAGGCCCAGGTACTTCACCTGGTGTCTGATCAGTGCTTCATCAAACTGTCCTGTGATTGGATGACAGAGATCATGAAACAACCCTGTTGATTGTATTAACCTTTTCTGCCTTTTCTGAGCTGACATACCTGGCTGCTTGGACTCGTTGGGCTTTAGACAGCGTATGTACCAGGCCTCTTTAGCCGTGAGCATCTCTGTGAGCTTCTGCAGGCTGTTCTTAAACTGGGTCGCTACCTACAGCCAAAGGGTCATACCATCAGTTCAACTGGTAGATACATTATGTAGGAATTAAGAGTTTTAGTCAGATTGTGGATACTAGTGAAACTTGTTAAAACAGATTTTAACAAGTCAGAATCTATTATCGCCAGTCTTCAAGGGATATAAATTATGGATACAGGCTTAATTATCTGCACACATCTGTATGCTTTCTTAAATAAATGTCTTTCAAAAAACTGCAGACACACCAAACAGTTTCTGTAGTCACCAGCAAACTCAAGGAATCATTCTGGTGGAGTATCTGACCACTTTCTAAGCAGAATTGGCCAAGTCTATTCATATCCGTTGGTGTCCACAATATTTTTTAGAAAGTCTGTGGTCAGTCCAGAAACTTAAATGGTACCTGATCTGGACCAGTGTCCTGTTTGAACATTTGATTTTATTCATTCATCCATCCATCCATCCATCTATTATCTGTTCACCCTCATCCCTAGTGGGGTCAAGAGGTGCTGGTGCCTATCTCCAGCTGCGTTTTGGGCGAGAGGCGGGCTTCACCCTGGACACGTCGCCAGTCTGTCGCAATTCGATTTTATTATTTATTTTAATTACCAGCGTCTTGATTTTAGGTGAAGTTGATCAATTTGGATGTAGTTTTCCTTTATTCCACGTTGTGTAAGACAATTAAATGGCCTCTTCAAAGAGATTCATCCTGAAAATACTTTATGTGGAATTAAAATGGCTACATGCCAGGAAACCAGTTAACTGAGATAAACTTGCTCCATTTCTGATAGGAACAGTGGCCAAATACCCATTTGGTGTCTGTAATAATTCATCAAAGATGTTTGTCACATTATCAATGCGTGAACAATTTTACATTTTAAGAATCCAACACAGATGGGCTTACTGTTTCTGGTCTTCTCTTGTTTGTTGTGTCCACAGCAGAGAAGCACTCCCTGACAATTGTATTTTTTGACTGACACATCAGCTTTAAAGAGAAGTGAGAGTCCACATGAATGCATGTTTACATCAAGATAGTAAATTGTCAAATATTGTTAAAAATCTTGTTTTATTTACTGCAGTCTTGTAACAACATAACTTTTGATTACATATCTATATCTCAGTAATTAGAGGTGCAAAAATCCGTACTCACATTTTCTATGTTTCTGTATAACAGGTCATTATTTTTGTCGAGAAAACCTAAAAATGTAATAAATAAATAAATAAATAAATAAACATTCTATGTTAAATGATTGCCACTATGAAATTACACTAGTCCAGATGTTAATGTGAAAGTGGCCTTAGGACTGTGGTTTTATTTTACCCACAACGCAGTAGGTGACCTCCCCGGCGTAATGCAGGAGTCTGAAATCTCCCCTCTCCAGAGTCTTTCGTGTCATTTTGTCAGCCAGTCTGTGTCTGCAGTCAAAGAGATGGAAACAAAGTCAGAGATTAATCATAACTCTTTGTCTTCATGAAGCCACAGTCCACTCCACTGAGCAGAAACTTGGTGTTTGTGGTCACTGATAATACAGATTTTAACTCACGTCACAAAGTGTGGATGATTGCTCATCTTTTGTTCTAATCTCTCCAGAAAGGTGAGATCGGTGGCATCTCCTGGCCTGAGACACTCTTCATCCTGCAGAATCAGATTCGGATATTTATTTTATTATTGTTAAACCTCACTTAGACAGTCATATTCAGGAAATTAGCCTATTATTGAAAAGTTCCCTTATTTCAGTAATTCAATTCCCCAAGACTAATATGATTTTCCACTTACAGCTAATGAAGGCATGCGATTTCATTAAATATTAAAGATTTTTTAAAAATTTACTACAAAAATAGGACAAATATGACTATTTATGTGAAAAGGATCACACACCAGTATTGATATGATTCCTCTGTGTTTCTCCTCAACCAGGTCACAGATAATCTTATTGTTGAAGAACTGAACCGGCTCCCACTTTGAGAACAAAACACTTAGAATAAAGCTGGGACATGTTGATGAATATTCATTTCACTTTTTCGTTTTCCAAGTTTTGATCAGTCTTACCTCGATTCCCTCAGCTTCATATTCTTCCTGCTCCGCTTTGAGCGTCAGCTGGATAAAAAGCTGCTGCAGTTTCTCGTTGCAATAGTTTATACAGAACTGTTCAAAACTGACAACAAAGAGGGCAGATATTCCTGTTTTTATGCAAAATTTGTCTGTTGGTAGCATTGGGTTTTATTTTACAGCAAAAATATTTATCAGAGAATCTACTATTAATCCAGAATGCAGCTCACCTGTTAACATAGAACACCTCGAATCCATATATGTCCAGAAGCCCGATAACAGTCTTTCGTAAAGAGTCCTAGCAGAAAATATTGCTATAAAACACTGAACTTTAAAAAGTATTATCATCTCTACAACTTTTCCACATTTTGTTGTGTATTTGTTGTTGTATTTTATCTGGAGTTTTAGTGAGAGTACATTATGCAAGAAGATAGAAGTGGTGAGAAAATTATGCATAATTTATTATTTTTTTTAATACAAGTGTGGTGTGAAGTAAAAACCAGTGAAAATGATTCTAAGTTAGAAAAAAAAATGTTGTTACCTGTGGGATATGACTCTTTAAATTATCTCAGATTTTTTTGAGGATGCCATAAAAATGCATTGGATATTGTGGTTGTAAAAGCAAAAATCTAAAACGTTCACGGGGTGTTTGTGTTTTAGCTTTGAAAATAAAAACTGGAATGTAGGCTTTTACGTCATATATGCTCACCTTGTTCTCCATAGACTCATTAATCCTGTTGACCAACCAGGTAAAAGTCTGTCCGTAGATGGCTTTGGCCAGGGCGTCTCTGACATAGATGGCGTGGTCTATTGTGAATGGACTGAGGACCTTAAAAACATAAAATAAATGTCACAATTGCAGTTTGGAGAAAAACAATTTATCACCTAATGAGGGTAAAAGATGTTTGACGTCTGCAAACCTGCTCTGTTTTGGCTTCAATCTTTCTAAATGTCAGTCCCTCCTTAAGCTTGTTGGCATCCACCCCCAGAAGCTGTGAAGGAAACTGAAATGAGTCGCCGAATGGATTTCTGAGCCTAGTTCGACATCAAATTCAGGAATGTTTGCTTTCCTTACATCTGAAACCCAGTTCAGCTCCGTATTGTTCTTCAGGAGGGCGTGACCTTTATTGTCTGGATCAAAGTGAACATTTCCCAAATGGAGAACACTTGCAACCACCCTAAACAGATGCTGCACAAAGATACTCAGGTTTTTTTTTTTTTTTACAAACATGTTCATGTTAATACTGCTTCATGCAAAACCATTCAACTTACATTGGTGTTAGTTTCATCAAATTCAATGACTTGCAGGGCATTTTTGACGGATTTCCAGTCATTTTTGTCATTTATAGACGACACAATGGCACATTCCCCCTGTTGGAAACAAAGAACACACAATTATACAATATTGCCAGTGATCATAATTAAGAATGCTCTTCTGAAGTCACACAAACCTGCGTTAGGTAGTAGTAATGCTGGACGTCTCTCTCAAGGCCCAGCTGGGTCAGCAGGTCATCCGATCCTCCTTCCACCAGCTGGTAGAAAACGTGGAAGTTCCTTTCTCCATGATTCTGGTGCACAACCCTCGATTTCTCCAGCAGGTAGTTCAGGATGTGGCCTCCAACAGCGTCCCCCTTCAGGCACCAGGATTTACATTTGATCATGTTCACATTATACGCAATGCTGACTTTTTTTTTTTTCGTTGGCTTTGTAACGTAATGTAAAATAAGGCAAAAGAAAAAACCTAGCAAAACTCAGTTACCAGGTTTGATTGATAAGTCCACACACACTCAGAAAATACATGTTTTATTTATTTTGATCTTTGTTTTGTTGCACTGATATATATTTTTTCCACAGCAGCATTTGCTTGAATCCTTACCTGACTGTCAAATTGAATATCCATGTATTTCCCAAACCGACTTGAGTTGTAATTTTTCAGAGTTTTTGCATTCCCAAAAGCCTTTAATAAAAAAAGAAACTCTTTTATTCAGAATAATTGTCACAATCACCTCTTATTTAAATGTATAGTCGATGTTCTGATAAAATTGGAAGCAACCATTGAACCTCTAAGACGGGGTTGGACATGAGCATCTTGTCTCTGACGTTGTTCATTAAAGTGGTGCTTGGGCAGCTGACGGCATAATATTGCAGGATCTTCTTTGAGGCCTCAGTTTTTCCTGCTCCACTCTCACCAGAGATGAGGATGAAGTGATTGTTGAACTCTGTCAGCATGGCATGGTATGCATTATCAGCCAAGGCATAGCTAAAAATTGTAAGACATCAAAGGTCCAGTTAGGAAAACAGGTTTAAAATAGCAAGATTTGTATGGATTGTGATTACATAGATTTATAGTTTAATAGTAAGATTTATTTTCAGATTATGCTGTCCTAAAAGATAAGATCCAAAGAATTATTGCGGACCTTTTTAATTGACTGTACCTTTCTTAAACAAACTAAAACAAAATGGACACTCTGGATTTGGGTAAACCACCTTAAAAATGACGCTGCTTTTGGTTTTTCTGATCAATATAAGTTAAAGATTTTACCGACTTCATTTATACTCTGATTGAACAGTGTACAAAGTTTGAATGCCCATCAAAAGCTCACATGTGTGGTGGAAGCTCAAAAAAGTTGACACCCATGTAGACATCCATCTGTTTCTTAGTGTAGATGTCCAGGTCCTTGTACGGATTCACAGACACAATCAGTGTGCCAATGTAAGTCTAAGGACATGACAGAGTGAAAATAATCATTCAAAACATGTGATTTAGTTTAGATGTGGGTTTCTTTTTTCTTCAACTCACATAGATTAGATCTTTGCTGAAACGTTTCTTCAGATTGCTGACAACAGCCACTTCTGTGGTTTCGTCCAGAAGAACAAAGTCCTGGATTCCCACTCGGTCCCTGGCGGTCAGGGCACCCTCCATATCCAGCCGGCCCTGTGCAACAAGTATCAATCATCCCATCGTTCAATACTCTGCTAAAAGCTCCTGAGTTGGTAAATTGTTATTTACTGTTAACCCAGTGTTGTGTAATCTATTTCTTAGCGCACTTTTATTTTATACTATTTAATTTTAAAAACCTGAATAGTGTTTGCTAGTTTGATTCATTCTACAAATCAGGAAAAATTGGGCATAATGCAACCAAATGCAACAGGTATAAATGCATAAAAAGTTTCAAGAAATCTATTTTGACATCTCCATCTGGATGAATGTATGTTTCAGTAAACAACTCCAAGACCACAAAAAGCACATACAGTCTATTTTGTAGACCTATAGTAACTAAAAAGATTTGGAGCTCTTAAAAGTCTCTATACCAATGTCTTTGATTATACTTATGAACAAACAGAAGATAATTGCTACACCATTCACAAGGACCTTGGCTAGCAGCCGTTCATTCAGTTGAGCTGATGCTCCAAGTAAACACTACACAGAGTGCAAAATGGACTGGCAGAGCCTGAAACAGCGGCGTGTTTTAGAAGTATAGTGGGAAAAAAATTCCACCAATCTGTTTAGCATTCACAGCACCAACACTTTGACCAAAGGTTTTCACAGCTTTTGTTGTTTTTTTTTTTTTTTTCAGTCCCTCTTTGGAAGCAGAAATCCTTTGATTCCCTACTCTCTCTGTAAAAACATTTAAAAAAAACATAATCCATTGGATCTAATTGACACAAAGCCCTCCTTCCCCCCTCCCTCATGCCTCCGTCCTCCTCCGATGGCCCTCGTTTCTTCTGAGAACGGCCGAGGGGCTTTTTGTCCTGTAAATACCACGGAGGAGAGACAAAAAAGACGTCTTTAAAATGCAGTCTACAATCCATTACACATATTCTCCCTCCATATCCATTCAGTAATTATTCATTAGAAAACATTTAACGTCACAGTGAATTTCACACTAGGCAGTCGAAACACAATGGAGGAGATTTGGCCTATTTTGGGGTGAGGAGTTGTGGGTGGGGTGGGGGATGGCTGTACAGAGGAAGGGGTGAAGGCAGAGGAGGGCGGAGGGGAGCAGTATTTGTCTGATCTGAGAACCTCTGAAACGGGTCCGTCTTGAGACAACGAGACAGACTAAATAGCGCAGTAACGGTCCGTGCCCTGCTGCTTGCTGTGACACTCATTTAGGGTGCTCCAGTGTGCCCTGAGGGCAAACAATAGAGCCTTGTTCTTAGCGATCTTGTGCTGTAATTTGGACTCCATTACTTTGCTCATATGGGGCCCCATGGACAGACAGAGGAGGCTAGTCCGATGAGTGTTTTTTTTCCACCTGTCAGCACCGCACCCCCTGTCTTCTCAACCCTTACTTGAACAATACCCCTCACCCTGTGTTCCCCACCAATAACCCTCACACGACCCCCTTCCCACAGCACTCCCCTCCCACTCACCCACTTTAAGCCTATGAGACAGGTGAACAATATCATTGAAGGAACCCTTTTTTGGACGTCAGAATCAATCTGCTGATATGATGGTGGTGGCGCTGCTGCAGGGTATCTGTGACACCTCCTTCTTTCATGGGAACAAACTTCTCTCTGGGCAGCAACAGGGGACAATCTGCTGGGACAGCGTGACTTCGGGTTGCCATACAGTGTTACAAGCAATAACATGGGCAGATAAGCTGCTGTCACGAGATGGGATTGATTTATTCGGAGGTGATGATAATGCCAGTGTTTTCAGTTTTTCTGAGCAAATCTAGAGGTTTGCTGTTGCCATTCAGCTCATTCTTTTGCAGAAAGCAGAAGTGTTTTTAATGACAACAGGCCTGAAAAGCTGAACATTAAATGGGCGTTCTCAGTGCATGAGGACAATAGTGTATGAACATGATGAGGAACCTGGCTACTGGAGAGGTTCTCTTTATGTTTATAGCCTTGTGTACATGGGTGCATCCCAATAGATTAGATAATCATTGAAAGTTTCTTTATTAAAAGTTTATTTCAGCAATTCCAGTCACAAGGTCAATTTCAAACTTGGATTAATTTATTTGATGCTGGTAATTGTGATGAATATGGCTAACAGCTAATGAAAACCCTTAATTTAGTTTCTCATAAAGTTAAACTCTTGCAATAGAGTAAAATACCAGGACAACGTTTGCCGTAGTGAGGAACTGGTGAGTGTAATTCACAGGATGTTCTGCACCTTGGGAGAACGTGCACCAAGTTATTCAGAGGAAACGACTAGAAATGCCACAATATACACCAAAGGGTTATACAGTGAAAAGTGAAACTATAACACAGAGTACAAAAGAGCAGAAAAGGGAAAACACCAAGTACAAAAAAAATATTTATCTTATGCTATGTTATTGTGTGTATAATCACTGGGAGAAATGCTGACCCAGTAGTTATCCATCAAAGAGTCAATTGCATCTTCCACAACAAGAGTAAAAAACTAGAGGTTCCTAAAGAAGCTGGTTGTTGACTGAGTTTGGTATTCAAGCTTATCAATGAAAAATTGAAAGAAAGGAAAAAATGTGGTAGTGAAATGCAGACATGCAATATGGACACTGTAGCTTCTTATGAATAAAATTAATGGCTCAAAACTTGGCATGCAAACAGGTAATTTGTTTATTTGTTGCAGAGACGCATCCAAATGCTGCAGGAGATTCACAAGGTGTGGACTGAGCACAAGACATCCAGACCTCCATTCAATATTGAAAAGCAATGACTAGAAGCAATAGAAATCTTGTTCAGATGCAACAGATGTTTTTATTTTTCTCATGTAATTGTGCTGTCCCTCAAACATTGATGCCCTGGGCAGAGAGCCATATCACCAATATCAAAACACCTCCACAGCATGTTGTATTGAAGCAATGATTCATGTCAATAGTCGCCCATCAAAGTACTGGTGCAGGACATGGATGCATCTTTACATAGACTGATATTTATTTATTTGTATTCATCTAAAGCAATTTTAAAATTTTCTCAGTAAATGAATGTTTTTGTAAGCTGTAAGCCATTGTCACCAAAATGAACAGAAATAAACACTTGAACTGTCTCACTCGCATCTGTTTAAAAAAGTTAACTTTTTAATGACATTCTGATTTATTGAAAAGCACCTAAAATGCACACTGACCAGTTCAGTTACACAACAGACCATCCTATCTGACACAACGTGGAAAGTGAGATTGTGTAACAAATCCTGAAAGCCACTGTCAGATCAGGTGAATCGTCTCAGAGAGTAAGCAAGTGTGTTTTAATTAAGAGATGGCCTCTGAACTTGCTCTAGAGTGTCATTGTTGCCTGAGACAGAGTGACCTCATCGGTTTTGAGAAGTGGCGTTATCTTCTCATGAAAGAGGGAGAGCTGGAGGGAGGAGCTGCTACCTGCTGATTCGCTTCATTAATTTATGCACAGACAAGAGGATTTATTCCCCTCTTATAATGGAAAAAATGTCACCTGGTGACCTCATCTTGCAAATCTATCTGCTACTTTGATATTAGCAACTAAAAGTGAACTGTTGCTGACAGATCAGAATCATACATAGCATATTACTTCAGTACTCTTTATACCTTAGAACAAGTTAGAAATGAGCACAATCTAAAGCACTTTGTGGTAAAGTTCACAAATATTTCTACAAATTAATGAAAAACATTAAAAAAACATGTAAAAATAGCACAAACCAAGCATATGAAATGTACCATCAACATGAACATTTTACCCAAGAACTGTAACAAATGTAGCTTTTAATTAGATTATATTCTTGATAAAAAACAATTGTATCTTTCTAATTTTAAAACTGATCTACCTGCAGATGCTTCCTCTATTCTTTTAGTGTTTGAGAAGTTGGATTTTCAACTTCTCAAACATAGCAAAGATTTGTTTTTCAGTTTTAGATTTCGTATCTAATTTTACCAAAGAAAAAAATATTCTCAAGAATCTCCAAGGGGAGCGATACATGAGCTGAGTAAAATTTAAGGTGACATTAACTGTTTCAGTCACTTAAAGCAAAATCAAACCTGCATTTCCAAAGCTCGGTTTGTCTCCTATCCGGACGCTGAGTTTTTGCGTAGCTCCAAAGCTGAAGGCTTCCCTTCTTTGTGGAGAAGTTAGACAAAAATGGAAAGTCCTCCTGTGTCTGTTTGCATGGAGGCCATTGGTGGACCACTAGGCTGTTTTCCACAACAGCATGTTTACTGTCTTTTTGTCCTGTTCCTCCTTCATGTTGTTTGTGGTGTCAGTGTAAAGTTGGCGAAGTTGTGTGGAATCCAGTGAACAAATGTACTGATGTCCTGAAGCTCAGGGTGCTGCTTAATGATTCATGTCTCAGAAGGTGGAGAGACGGAGAGATCTTATTCAGTGCTTACCTGGCTGTCTTCTGAGTGTAATGTAACAAGACAGAAACAAGATCCAAAGCACGCCAACTTATCACCCTTTACCTCTCTTTCTCCAATCTCCATTACATCACAACCACAACAAGAAGCTCCCGGTTACATTATTTCTTCTGTGACATGTGAGGTCTGGTTTCTGAGGCATTATGTAAACCAGTCATCATCTGGGTGCTTGTGGATTTCAATCTTGTAATCCACTCAGCTCCCTCACTGAATTAATGCTTTAAGAATCAACTTTTGCTCCAATTTCAGTTTTGAATCTTTTTTGGGGGGTATGCCCGCAGTTCTCTCCGAATTCAAACTCAGCCAGTCTGATGTGTGTTAACATCAGTTTTTTAGTTTTGTCACAGATTCTCTGTTAGGAGTAAGTTTAGGATTTGACTGGAACATTTCAACACCTGCAAATATTTTGATGTTAGGGAAAAAGTTCCCCTTTGAGCAGGACATTAAGCTTAAACATACAGCCAGAGTTACAACAGAGTTACAATCAAATGGCTTGGATTAGTGTTTTGCAGCAGGACTTATTTCAGTATTTTCCTCTGTTTATCTTTCTATATGTCAAATCAGATCTGCTTCACTGTCCCTGATGAAGAAAAATATCCCACACCATAATGCTGCTAACACTTTTACATGT